TGTATATCCATAAAATCTATAAAAATGCTTTAGAAAACTGAGACATTTCCCACTGTCCTGAGGATAGTATTCTCAAGATAAAAAAAAAAAATGGACCAATTATGGTTTAATGTCACTATGTCTTATATAATCTGTAATGGTTGATTTTAATTATTCTTGCATGGTAAGTAGGGGTACACCCATCACACAGTCATGCAATGACTAACTATCCTCTGATCACCTGTGACGGGCATTCTGCCAATCTCCGAGCATTTAAAGATAGATAAAACAAGATAGCATTAACTCAAAGAGGGTGACAAGCAAACAGCAATTATAATGTTTGATAACGGCTATGGAATCATCAGCACAACACAGGCAGGAGTGTCTTCGCAAAAGCACCCAAGTTTCCTAAAGAGATGTCATCCAAGTTGAATGCTAAAGTTAGCTGAAAAGTTGATGTGTCAAAGAAAGCCATTCAAACTGTCAAATTCCACCATAAAGTGATATACCAGAGAAAGACTGAGGAGGGTTAATATCTGTTGACTGCCAGTACATATGAAGTGCTTTGCAAGCACTAAATAACGGACTTTTACAATAACAGGGTAAGAAAAGTATTAATGATTTCATTATATTGAGGAGAAAAGAAGGGGTTCTGGAGGATGGGCAGGCTTTTCCAAAGCATGAGACCAGCATAACCTAGATTCAAGACTAATACTCCTTCCCTAACTTCAAGGATAACTACGTTGCAAGATTAAAGTCAGGCACGTAGAACCTCCCTCACTCCTTCCAGCCAGCTTAGATGGTCTTTGGAAAGCTTCATAAAGCACACTTTTAAAATCAATGCTCCTGATGACAGTGTGCCTGAAGACAGCAGGAGCAGCAGAAGGACTGAACCCGTGAGTGAGTGTCACGGTCTTGATCAGCGGTTGTTGGACACTGGTTGTCATAGCATCTGGGTCTCTCTTTGTCAAGCATTTTATTCTCAGGCTCCTTTGATGGGCAGTATGGGAGAGCCAATCACAGAATCTGGCCTTCAACTGCAGGATTGCTTTGTTCCTCTATCTGTCATCTGATCACTAAAGTAGACTTAATGAGCCAAATTGTTTAAGAGCTCACTTCATGGTTACAGAAAGAAAGAGGAAGAGAAGGCTTCTGAGTGTTGGTTTCATAAAAAAAAAACAAAAAAACTTTTTTTTTTGTTTTTTTTTTTTTTTTTTGCCAGGACTCTACAGTTTGTGCTTGTATTATGGTCCAAATGCTACTTCTCAGGGGCTCGGTATTTGACTTGATTGAGGCAGAGATGGAAGCAAGGTGAGGAATTAAACAAGCCTCATACAAAAGTAGGGGTGGGAAGAGCAGCAACTGTTCTTCAGAAAGTATATGTTATTTTGGAAAAAATGATCGCACTGCAGAATTTAAATCTCTTAAGGTGAATTAAGGCAAGACAAATTTCTAAAGTTTGATATAAAAGCAATGAGAGACAAGACATTCCAAAAGAACAGTATAAAGGGGAATATGCTCTTGAAAAGTTTTCTACAGAAGATTGTCACTACTTTCTATTCATTCATTCATCTACTCATCTATTCATTCACTCCCTCACTCTTTCATGTAGGGCTAAAGCCCTGTGAAGAAGCAGGACTGAAAATTTTACTTCTTAGATTGGGAGGTCAAGGAGGTCCTTCCAAAGATGGGAAATGAGCTAAGCTCTGAATGTCACAAAGTTAAGTGGTGATCCAAGCAAAGAGACTTCCAGGCAGAAGGATGAGCCAGAGTAAGGGTTTTCATCTACAAACAAGGATTCAAGGGAAACCAAGAAAATGCGTGTGACAGGAATCATAAAAATAAGAAGGACTATTATCACAGAGGTGTATGTATCTACAGCTAGGCTGGAAGGGAGGGCAGAAAATGCTTCCTGAGTACCAGAGGGGAATTAGGATTTTATTTTAAATGTGACAAGCAAGGCACTGAGATGTTTTGAGCAGGGAAATGACACAATGTAATTTATGTTTTCCAAGACTGAGATATGAAAAGCTGACCACAGGGCTGTAAGACTGGACCTGAGGAAATCAGTTCTGAAAGCCAAAGTAATTGCCCAAGAGATGCTAGCAGGTGCTGGGGCAACAGCAGGTGGGCGGTAATAAATACACAGTCTGAGACTCTGTGAAAACAGAGCTAACGTAGCTGTGGTGAAACTTAGATGTCTGAACTGAGCACAAATTGTGGCAACCATTAGTTGCACTGAAGAAGAATGGAAGAATAACACAGTTGAAGGAAAGAAAAATGAAGATTAGTTTTACGCACGCTAAATCTGAGACACATAGTAGATATCATGAAGGGACAGGCAGAAATTCATTCCAGCTAATGTTAGGTCTGGGAGTCAACATTAAAAGAGACCACTATAAAGGTAGCAAACATAAGGTGCCACATGACCCAGTAAAATGTCTGAGGGACGACTCATGCCATAAATGTAGATAACCCTTTACCCAGAGGCCAGGAAGAACCAGTGAAAAAGAACAAGAACAAGGAAGGCGCTGGCATGGAGAGGAGAAACACACACACACAAAGACAGCATGGAAGACAAGCAAATCAAATGTTTTAATAAATAGGGAGTGAATGACCAACTCTCAAAACAGTTGAAGCCTGAATAAAAATACTGTATCAAGAAAGAATATGCTTATAAAAATGACAACCTACAAATAAGGGGTTCAGCAATTACTGGTGTGGGAAAAATGAAGTTATAAAGAAATTGTCTTAAAATGTGAACTGAATGCTCTTACATGAAAGTCCAGTCATTACCCTGAAAACAGTGTGACAATTAGACCCATACACACACACACACACACACACACACTGGGTTTAGTCCACTGGCCAGCCACCTTGAAAGGCTACTTTTGAGAGATTTTCTGCTACTGCTAAGCAGGTTATCAAGTGTTCTGTGTGTCATGTTCACAAAATAAGAAAATATCAGGATCCCACACATTCACCGATGGCTAATATTACTTTGGGTCAAAATGGTAGGCCACTGGTAAAACTGTTCTGATCACTGCACTATTCTGTTGGTTTGTTCTTCTTTTTCAAGACAGGGTTTCACTGTGTAGCCTTGGCTGTCCTGAACTCGCTTTGTAGACCAGGCTGACCTCGAATTCATAGAGATCTGCCTGCCTCTGCCTCTCTAAGTGCTGGGATTACAGTGCCACCGTGCCTGGCTGATTTTGGCTTTTTTTTTTTTTTTTAAATTAAGCTTTCTTATTTGAAATTGATCGTCTACTTGTTCTTCAGAAAACATGTGACCAGTACCAGAAAGGGGACATCATCTTAATGCAGTGATTCACATGATCAATTGCCTTTAATCCTTTAGTAACCTAAGCTTCGGCTATTTGATTTTCTTGTCATTGCTTTCCCTATACTATCAAAAACGATGTTTCTCTAGTATTTCAAACTCATCAAAAAAATCACTAAAAATCTAAAATTCAATTTGCCACATTACTGCTAATTTGAATAATGGCTGAATAAAACACAGGAAACGCTGAAGCAGCATTGATTTCTAAAACATTTTGCACTTTCCTCCTCCATCCCTGTAAAGTAAAGCTTGGATGCTACGCACAATTACACAAGAAAATCAAGAAGGCCATTACATTCAGCATTTTGTCATGATCACTGTTACCATGGCGAAGAGTAGGCGTAGTTTAGCACAGCTGCCATGGGCGAGATCTGCTGGCCTTTTGTAAAGCTGAGTAAGAATATAATGCCAAATTCGATAGCCTCCCACCCACACCCTACACTGCTACTCGCAGATGCTGCCATCTCCTTCCTTAATGATCTGGGCATGTGTCATCTTATGACTGTATTCTTACTGTTGACCAATGACAGAAGAGCCCAGTTAATCTACAAGGTCGCCACCTGACCCACCTCTTGTTTTCGTGGAGGAAAACACATGGTATGAAAACAGGAATGTGATCATAAAGAAACCGAAGATTCAACAGTTGCACTGCAGATGACAATGGCATTATGTTACAAACGGAATAGATGGGGGAGAGGGATAAACACAGGCCTGTGATAACTAGCAGAATAGAATATTATCTCCTTTCTTTGTCAGTTTAGTTATCCATACAATGGGGATACAAATAACTTCCTGGGCTGGGGAGATGGCTCAGTGGAGAAAGTATTGCTACACAAGTGTTTGGATTGGAATTCAGATGATGCCCAGGACCTAGGTCAAAGCCAGGCAGGCCTGATTGCTGCCTGTATCTTAGCAACTGGGAGGCAGAGATGACACCCCCAGAACAAGCTGGAATCTGTGACCTCTAGTTACAGTTGAGAGATCCTGCCCCAAAAAGTAAAGCAGGGAAGAGGTGAGTTATTGTGAAAGACCACCCAGTGTCAATTTTGGGCCTTCACACCCACACTCACACGTAGGTATACATATCTGCACACACTGACGGAAAGCCTAGGACTACAGACATGCCTACACACATGCACGCACCCCCAGTGCGCATGTAACTTCTCTGTAAGGATTAACTGAAATAACTTCCAGGTCCAGGCATGCCCATCTGTGCCCACCTGCACCCCTTTAATTGTGGAGATTTCCATTAGAATATAAATCATTTTCTTTTTTCATATGGTTTGGATACTGTCTTCAGAGAACTGAGAATAAATTAATTTTTATGGCCTAAAAGGAAGCATAAATTCCACATCAAAAGGATAAAAATCCAGTGTCTATATCATATTATGCACCATAGCTTGTTATCTGTATTTCAGTGACACTAATGTAATCACTCTAAAGCAGGAAATACACTCTACCAGTTTTGACCTTAAGCACAGATTTTAAGTTTTTAAAAAAATGAAGCAACATTATGAAAGCAGAGAAGTTTAAATTATCTGAAATGAATACATTAATCAGAGTCTCTATTTACTAGGGAAAAAAGGCTTCTAGCATTTTTACCAGCTAAACAAAATATTTTTTTCTAATGAGACTTCAGCTGAGTATCGTTTATCTTAAGAGAAAAATAATGGGACCTTACCTATTCCAGTAGCTCCAGAACTGGCCATGCAGGTAGGCGTGGTGGCTACATTCATCACCAAATGAGGCTTTGCTTTCAATCCAGTGAATTATGTGCCCTTCCACGGCTAAGGGACAAAGCATTACTAATACACAGTGAAGGAGAGGGAAGATTGAAAATCCTCAACTATGCGCTGGCCTCTCTATGCTTCACATTAATGAGCAGGGGCTTAGCCTCTGCCATTCACTGTGGGCGTAATTATAAAACAACACATTTGTTTGAGTCCATCAGGCCCGACGGGGCCACAATTTCATCCCGTCACCCTCACCCATCCTTCAAAACTCCCTTTCTTGGTGCTCAAGATGCTGTCCTGAGGCTCGACAAGTGACATGTCAAGAAAACCTAAGTATGCCTGGCTGCCTGGCAAAGCTGCATTTTAAAAACTCAAAATTTATAGAGAAATGAGTTGAAAACGGCATCTCAAACATGCACTCAGAAGGCATCGCTCATTCCTCAAGTATATGGGAAAGTTCTGAGGCAGAGCCTTACTCGGAACAACTGTAAGCCAATTTAAGATCATCTTTTCTGAGTTTACCCATTTCGACACAGTGTTACAATGATAATCTACTCTGAAAACATTTGGTAATAGTAACACTTTAAAGAAAATATTCCCTTTCTATACACAGATGCGTATACACAGAAGCTCAAGGACTTACCAACTGGCACCTGTAAAATGAAGTCTGGTGTTTTGTCATAGCCCTTCGCACGGAGCTGATCTTCATCTGCAGGAAGAACAAACACTATCATTTATTACAGCACTCCATTAAAAAGACAGCAATATAATTGCTTTTCTTTCTTAAATATGTGTAAAAATTACTAATGCAGCCATACGTGTCTTTCTTACGCGTGCAGTGCCGTGTCAGAATAAATGAATTTTCTTCCCAAACCTGAATCAGAGATACAAGAATGCTTCTTTGTCTTTTTTGCATTTTTATGTCTTTATTATAAACATCATTAATCCCTGCTGTCAGGAGCTACCTTTTTTTTTTGTAATTGAAAATTCTGAAAATAAATATATTTACTGATAGAAAGTAAAGGGATCTGCAACAATGGAAGTCACCAGTGTCAGCAGTCAATATTGACAGTTTACAACAAGGCAGAAGCAATCAAGAAACTGTAGTTTAAATTAACAAAATTATTCCCATACATAAGGAAAGGAGAGAAAAGTAAGAGGGCCACAATTGGTTGTCTCGCTTAATTCTTTAGGTATACAACTGTTTCTGACAACTGAGAGTTTGATTGGCCTGACTTATGTACATCTGAAAAGAAAACAGGCTTGAAGATGTTTTTCCTGTCTTTTCAATTTCTTCTAGAAGTATTAATGGCCCTGTTGGAAGAGAAAGCAGGGAAATGGGAACCCAGATAAATTTGGAAAAACTAGCAAGGTGCTTGAGAAAACACAACACAACAACACAACAACAACAACAACAACAAAACCCACCCAGTATTTTCTAAATGCTGTCCTTGACTTCTAAGGTCAGCACAGTGTGATTTCTGAAATGGAGAGTTCTCCATTAGATTCTGGAGTGACCTGGTCATTCAATTCCAGCCTTGGCTTTCTGTCTTCACCCAACCTCAACTAATGGCCCAACCAAGTAACAAGGAAGGCCGAGTGGTCTCTTAACACCTACGGGGCTGTTGACATTGTCATGCATCCCACTGGCCTTCCTGCGTCAACTTTGATTAAAATTAATGGCCCATTCCCAGTGTTGGGTAGCTTATTTCCAATCCATTTGTCAGCCCAAGACAGTGGTTTCATGGCCAGCTTTGAGAAGCTCTGCTTTAGAGCATTCTTGTGCACATCCTGAAAGGTCAGCATTTTAAACATAAATAAGCGTTTAATGAGAAGACACTCATTAAAGTAGATATCGAAGTGGAACGCTGTTAGAAGTTGGTATTTTTAGTCAGATTTAGAAGGCAAAATTCAGAACGATTCTCCTTCTTTGAAATTAAAATAAAACCTCAAGCTGTTGAAATAATGAAATACAAATCAAACTAATGTTAATTTTAAAACAAAAAAAAAATATTTGAAATTGAGCTATAGAAATGAACTGGAAAATTCCCTACCCTTTAACTGTACTCTGACTATGAAAACTTTAATGGAAAAGATATTTATTCAAATCAATCCCAGTGTTTTGAGTGATGTTTCAGATAGGTGATGAATAGGTAGATTTAAAAGCTGGTTGACATTAAGAAAAGATAGAAATATTTCATTAAGACTATCCTAATTTCATCAGTCTCTGTCGATGTTAAAATTTGTTTCAGAAAGAAAAATGATTGTTTCCAACAACAGCTCAAAACAAAACTTCAAAGGTCACCAAGCAATCCACAAGCACAGTCAAACCCCTTCAAAAGCTGATGCACACTGCACGCTGCAAATTACCCACGCAACTGCATGTCTTCTCCAGTGTGAAAATCTGACATCCCAAACCCCAAACCCAAACCTACTAGATGAGGTTAGGGAACGTTCCCACTGTTTTGTAGTGAACTCCAAAGGACCAGGGGATGAAGTCTGTCAGGACGTCTGTCAGCCTTTCTTCCCTCTCTTCTCTGCTTCCATGCTCTCAGTAACCAAGTTGATCTGACAGTAACTGTGCCCAGCAAACCATCTCGAAATCTTAGTCCTTCCCAGTGTTTCTTCTAACAGGTTATTCAAAACATCCGAAATGCCCTTTATTTTACACACTAAGTGCTCATTGCCACAACATCTCCATGTCATACCCCCCATGTAGTGGCGCCCCACATGTTCATTTCTCCTTCGGGAGGAAGGGAACAAATAGACAGAGTTCAGTGGAAATAATGCAAGTGTAGGAGGAAGCACTTGTGAACAGGCAGCCCACTGTGCTGGGCCTCATGGGCCAGCCTAACTCTTTCAGCCAGCTTCCTGCCCTTTATATTATGCTTCTTTCTTTCAACTGGGTTCCTAATATTAGAACACTCGCTAAGCCTCTGGGTGTAAAGGTAAAATTTGATTGGCATGCTCCATTTGCAACTCAGGAGCCTGAAGCTTTGCACCTATTTCTGTCCTTAGTTGTTCTTTCTGCCCATTCTGCGTTGGCTCCTTCGCAGTGATGGTGCCAAGAGGCCTGCACACATGACACTGTTGCTCTGAGGATCTGACCCTGTTGTCTCCCTGACATGTATTTGATGCCCAGCATATTCTTCACATGTATGTGATGCCCAGATTCACATGTATGTGATGCCCAGAAGAGATACATGAGTTAATTAAAAATACTTTTTATCAATAGTTATGTTTTCTATAAAGCCTATCTAAAGGAGTGATCCTTTCTTTTTCTTCAAATTTACTTAACTCCCTAGGCATAGGCAAAGCACAGAGGTAGGAAAGTTGGCCCAAAGTGTGGGGTTTCTTTTGAAATTCCTGCTGTTTTTCCAAATGTCTGAATCTCAGCTCATTGAAGCTTCAGAGGACAGAAGTGACCCCCTTTTTTTCATACTTTTTTTCTTTCATCACTAGTGTGTTAAGTAACACTTACTTTATCTGGTCCTTAGATGCGGCAGATTTTTTTTCTCCACAAACTCACTTTGTCCTGGGGACTATGCTATTACTGCGTAGCCATGGTCACATTCCTACTTCTTATCTGATGATTGATCTGTACAGATCTCCCTTCTACTGCAGAGAAGTGTGCATTCTACATTCCCCAAGAATCGTGTATTTCATAGAGGTTCTTATACTTTACATATGCTTTAGCTAACTAGTTACGTGGGATTCTTGACTCAGTTGAAGCCAGATTTCGGAAATATATCCTGTCTCCTCAGAGAAAAAAGAAGAGGAAATGATGAGAAATAATATTAGTTAAGAGAGGAGAAAAAGTGAGGGCAATGATCTGAAACAGTACTTTCAGGATACTAGCCCCATCTCTTCTACTGATCTTAGCCAGTGAGCACCGCAAGCAGGAAGAAAGACTCTCTGCTCAAGGTGCACACATAAACCTACAGATTGCACAGCTCCTGAACTCACTAACCTCACGGTTTAAGGTTTCATCATCAAAAGACCTATAAGAATATTATCATTTAAAAGCACACTTATTAGCCTTCATATCCACAAAATGAAGAATTATTTCACAAAACAGTATTTTTGTGCTAGTAAAGTCCTAGAGGCAACTGGTTCCACATGCTAATTTATATATCCCAAAAGAAGACCAGAGAAGTTAAGGTGTCCGTCAAGACTCGGACTTCTCAAATAACAAAGACACTAGAGGAGAACTCATGTCAACCAAGTCCTGTTTTGTCCTCACAGACTCTACACCATTCTTAATTCTGTCGATAAGGAAGCTGGATCATTGTGATATTTATGGAGAGGGTGGGATTCTCCTTTTCCTCCTGTATGGATTGGTAGGTGGCCATATGTCAAGGCACCATTCAGAGGAACCAGAGCTTCAGCACTTCTCCTGTCACTGTATCTTAAAACCCAACAAAAGTGTGTCCACAGAAGAAATGGATGTTCATGTTAAAAACTACTTTTAAATACTATTATTTCAACTGTACAAAAACAACACAGGTCTCTGTTTATTTTTACATCATCAAGCCTGTTCTTAGGTGGTATTTTAAAGAGGGGATTACACATGCGTAAAGAACATCGTGAGCATTTAATTTCTCTGGCCTTTGAATTATATCCTTAAAGTACCCAAAATATCCAAAGTAATTAGCTACTAATTACACAATTGCTTTGTTTAAAATAAAGGGCTGAGTTTTCGTCAGAGAACAAGACACATCTGATACTAGTAATCAAATGCTTAAGAATCATATTTAAGACTACTAAGAAAATGTTTTTAACCTGTACTGTTTCATTAAAATCTTTAAATACAAGATATAAAATCATTTCCCAATTGTACAAAAATTCTGTTTTGCAATACCTGATAATGAGAACTAACAATCTGAAGTGACCCATGAATTGTCAATGGATATAAACTGCTAAACAAAATAACAAAATTATTAAACGGTATATCTCTTCTACTCTAGCATTTCATGTGCTTGGACCACTTTTTTCTGAAGCATTCTTAATTCAGTGCTTAGAGATGTGACTTTGTATGTTCCCTTTTCTGCTGAAGGCATCAATAGGTAACAGCTGTCATTCTGATAGGCAAATGGTGCAAGGGTACACAAAACACATACATAATGAATGAGGAGACTGTCTCACACAGAAATGAAATCTTTACCAAACCCCAAGCTTCATCTCAGCCATGAGTTTCAACCTCTTCTCCCAAAGTCTCTTATCAAAGCCACTAATAAGGACTGCAACTGATGGCTCTGACCTTGTCTTCTGGGGACAATACTAGGGGAAACTGAAGTTTCTTAAATATTAAGAACAAATAGAAGGTCAAGAGCAGGAGCAGTATGCACAGTGGCTGGGTAGCCCATCCTGGCTGCCCAATGTTGTGGAGACTACAGACACAAATTGCAACAACAAAGCAAATCACTGAAAATCCTTTTTGGATTCATGCTTCAAAGGAACAGACAAATCAGCATGGTAGATGTCTTAGTTAGGGTTTTATTGCTAGGAATAGATGCCATGACCACGGCAACTCTTATAAAGGGAAACATTTAATTGGGGCTGGCTTACAGTTCAGAGCTTTAGTCCATTATTGTCATGGTGGCAAGCAGAAGCATGCAAGCAGACATGGTTCTAGAGAAGCTGAGCGTTCTAGATCAGCTTAGAGATCTAAATCAGCTGGCAGCAGGAAGACACTGAGACATCCTGGGC